TGCTTTTAGAAAACAGACATAAAATTGAGACTGTAATAGTGTAAACAGAGAGGTGGAATTACACTCTAGCTGAGAGAGAAATTCATAGACACTGAGACTGAGTTATAGACAGCTAGACATCCATTACGTCTGTACTGAAACACAGTTATTCACAATAATTTATCCACACAGTCACACATAACATTATACTAATTTTTATTTGTGGAAAGCACAGAAATGGCAGGAACTGTCATCCTTACCTTGCCATCCTATATAAACCCTTTCCAGACAAAGGACAAAATGTTTCCAAAGGGTAGTTGAGGATGTCACATATCAGATGTGACAAGATGCCCATTTGATACCAGCACACCATGGTAGCACACTCCAAGAACAGCCACAGGATGTCTGAAAAGGCTTCTGTGTCACTGACTTTCTTCCAGCAGCCTGATTTAGTTGGGGATCGGTCCTGCTTTGAGCAGGGGGTTGGACTAGATGACCTCCTGAGGTCCTTTCCAACCCTGATGTTCTATGACTACACACATGTTGTCCTGTCACTGCATCCACAGACATTTCCACACAAAAGTATACAGGCTGTGAGGGACACCATACCAAGAATTATAGCAATAATGTTCTTGACGCTTGACCTTAGGTTGTTACAAGGGGCCAAAATGTTGGCCCCTTGCATGTGTAAGTCACACAATCCATGTGTGTGTAAGCTCAAGAAGCTTCCCCCATGTTGCACCCTGCACATATAACAGCTACAGATGCAGTTCCTGAATTTTCCTGCACACAGTTGCTCCCTGCTAGCACTTTCTTCACCTCCTACACAAATATGGCATAAGATGTAATAAATAAATAGATCTTGATTTCACAATCAGTCAGGTTTACACAAGTCGTCTTTCACTAGCACCCTAGATGTCAACCTTCTTGTTTCATTCACCACAGGACATCTATAAATCACAACAATCTGTGCAGATGAAGCTGAAGAAAAGGGCATTGGCCACTATCTCAACAGGTAAGCACAGAGATCATTATAATATTTTACAATGCCAATGATAGAGTGATCTGCTGGCCAGAGAATATTCGCCATCCAAACTATCTGCAACTATACCAAGGGCAAACATTAACCTCCAAGGTGAAACATTAAACAACTCCTGGTTTCCCTAGCAGAAAAGGTGCAACCTGACCACAAAGCAGTGGCTATGACAGTGGTATAAACCCACCAATCCCAGCTCAAAAGATAAGATATAGAGTATGGTCAGTTACAGAAGTTGAGAAACCAACTGCAACAGTCCCATGGTTGTCATGCAAGCCAAAGAACTTGGGATAGACCAGAGGAGTTTCATCTATGAGGACACTTAACTTCACTCAGAACAATAAACCAAGCAGCTTGGGCTACCCTAAATCTCAGATAGACCACATCTGAGCAGCACAGTGATCTGCACAAAATCACTAGTCCCACTTTAACCCCACTGTGAGATTCATGTACAAAATGGTCACACTTAACCATTCTACTTTTGGTGTAGGAGACTTCCTTCATTGGAGGCAGTATGCAAATACCATCTTCCTGATCCTCCCTCACTTCAAGCTGAATTTTGCCTCTAGCTAGCTGCAGACACCTGTGTCACCCCAAGCCTTACAGTGTCATCCAACAAGGTTTTAGCTCAAAAAGCTTGAAAGCCTATCTCTGTGATCAGCAGAGGTTGTTCCAATAAAAGATATTACCTCACCCACTTTGTGTTTCTAAGGTTTTAGTTACACATGTAAACATGGGGCTTTATAAAAGTTACCATCATATCTGTCTTCATAACCAGTGACTTTGAATTAATAAGCATAATCTTAAAAGAATCCATGCTGACACCCAGCACTGCCAAGAGGAAACACATCACAAAGCCATCTGGACTGAAACTAATCACCTCAATGGAAGTTTGTACAAGGTACACAATCTTTTCCATTTATTAAACTATCGCCTTCCAAAGGATAAAACTTATTGATTACAGGGAAGAAATTGGGAAAAGATTGTCAGTTATATTTAAATTGTCAAGTTTAAATTTCCCTTTTTTTGTCTGCTCTGGTAAACTCAACTGGGTGGGAGCAAGTCAATTTGAATTTAAGTCAAATGATTAAATCAATAAATAATGGAGAAGGAGGTCCCACTCTTAAACGACTTCACCTAGGATCACGTTTAGTAATAATGGTGTGGCCAATTTTCACAATTCTATTATGTCTCCCATGTTGCTTGTCTTAAATCTGCAGCTCCTGGAATCATGTTGTTATCTCAGCTTTCATTTAAAAGATTAAAGTAAGTTTCTAACTCTCATGGTTGTAGAAAAGGTTGGAAACATGACTCAAGTAGATCTTAAAGGATCACAAAACAAAAGACACATAAAATTAACCCAGAATGTTTATCTTAAAACTCATGAGATTTAAAAAAAAAAAATAACAAACCATCTCCTTATTTTTGCGGCCTGACATGTGACTTTTGAATACTTGAGGTTGGCAATGCTGCAACTAGCTCTTTTCTAAACCTGCTTGGACCTGGCTAAGCATTGCCATTATGCTGATCAGTCTCCATAATTGTTTAGATGGGCTAAATCCTTCTGTATTAAATCCCACATCATATTAACATTTTATTTATTGTATGGTGGTCTACAGAAAATTACTATAAAGTGGATGGATCACTGGTTGAAAGACAATACTCAAAGAGTAGTTATCAATGGTTTGTTGTCGGAGGGTGTATTTAAGTAGGGTCCCACAGAGGTCTCTACTGGGTCTGGTACTATTCAACATTTTCATTAATAACTTAGATAATGGAGTAGAGAATATGCTTATAAAATGTGTGGGTGACCCCAAGATGGGAGAGGTTTCAAGCACTTTCAAGGACAAGGGTAGAATGCAAAATGACCTTGGCAAATTGGAGAATTGATCTGAAATGAACAAGATGAAATTCAGTAATTACAAGCACAAAATACTACACTTAGGAAGGGAAAATCTTCACAAATACAAAATGGGGAATAACTGGCAAGACAGTAGTATAGCTGAAAAGAACATGGGGTTATTATAGATCGCAAGTTACATGTGAGCCAACAGTGTGATGCAGTTGTGAAAAAGGCTATTATAATTCTGGGGTGTATTAAAAGGAGTGTAGTATGTAAGACATGGGAGGTAATTGTCCTACTCTACTTGACACTCCGGTGGAATACTGTGTTCAGTTTCGGATGCCACACTCTAAAGGCCTGGCTACGCTTGCAAATGTAGAGCGCTTTGAGTTAAACCAGCCTTCGTAGAGCGCAGTAGGGAAAGTGCTGCAATTTATCCACACTGACAGCTGCAAGCACACCGGCATGTCCACATTTGTGGCACTTGCAGCGGCATTGGGAGTGGTGCATTGCGGGCAGCTATCCCACAGAGCACCTCTTCCTATTCTGGCGCTGTGGCTTGTGGGAAGGGGGCAAGATGTGCTGGGCATTCTGGGCCCTGTCCCAACACCCTGTGATGCATTGGTTCACATCCCAGCAAACCCTCTGCTTCTGTCCACAATTGTCGTCATCTTTCAAACTTTTTTGTACTGTGCGCTCTGTCTTCCCTTTCAATCTGCGGGAATGGAGCCCTAACTGCTGAGGAATATGCTGATTAGTCTCGCCAGCACAACACGTTTGGCAATCAACTTACTCCTTAAGATCCAAAGTGACAGTGAGGACTCCAACGATGATATTGACGTGAGTAACGCATATGACACGAGATTGCTTGTGGCATTCACGGACATGCTCACCACTGTTGAACAGTGCTTTTGGGCTCAGGAAACAAGCACTGAGTGGTGGGATCACATCATCATACAAGTCTGGGATGACAAGCAGTGGTTGAGGAACTTACGGATGAGAAAAGCCACTTTCATGGGACTGGGTAAGGAGCTTGCCCGCACCTTACAGCCCAAGGACATGAGATTGAGAGCTGCCCTGACAGTAGAGAAGCAGGTGACTACTGCAATCTGGAAGCTAACAACTCCAGACAGCTACCGATCAGTTGCTAACCAGTTTGGAATGGGGAAGTCGACCGTTGGAATCGTGTTGATCCAAGTTTGCAGGTCCATTAATCGCATCCTGCTCAGAACAACCGTGACTCTGGGTAACGTGCATGACACTGTGGCTGGTTTTGCACAAATGGGTTTCCCTAACTGTGGAGGGGCGATAGATGGGACGCATATTCCATTTCTGGCACCAGCCCACCTAGCCTCCGAGTACGTTAATCGGAAGGGCTATTTCTCTATGGTTCTCCAGGCACTTGTGGATCACCGTGGACGTTTCATTGACATTAACACAGGCTGGCCTGGAAAGGTGCATGACGCACGATCTTTTGGAACACTGGCCTGTTCAGGAAGCTGCAAGCCAGGACTTTTTTCCCAGACCAGAAGATCATCGTAGGGGAAATCGAAATGATCGAAATGATCCATTGTAATCCTTGGAGACCCTGCTTACCCTTTAATGCTGTGGCTCATGAAACCCTACACAGGGAGCCTTGACAGCAGCAAGGAGCACTTCAACAACAGGCTGAGCTGGTGCAGAACGAATGTGGAGTGTGCTTTTGGCCATTTAAAGGGCCGCTGGCGCTCTCTGTATGGGAAGCTGGACCTGGCCAATAACAGCATCCCCGAGGTTATATCTGTGTGCTGTACCCTCCATAACATTTGTGAAGGGAAGGGTGAAAGATTTACTCTGGCGTGGAACTCGGAGGTTCAACACCTGGAGGCTGAATCTGAACAGCCAGAGAGCAGGGCTATTAGAGGGACCCAGCACGAGGCTGCAAGGATTAGGGATGCCTTGAAGGAGCAATTTGAGGCTGAAAGCGACCAGTAAAGTCTGGTACCCTGCACGGAAGGAAAGTGCAGTGGTCCCAACGTTAGCAGGAATCTGTGTTTTCTACGTATGATGCACTGACTTGCAGTGCCTGTTTCTTTCCTGGGCTAAGGTATCTTTTACATTATGCAATAATAAAGAATGTTTTCAAAGCAAAAAAAATCCATGTAATGAAAAGAAAATGGATTTATTGAAAAGAAACACAACTGCTTGGGAAACATAAAGGGCAAGGGGGTGGAGTGGGGAACAGTACAATCACAGGTTTGCGTATGTCCTGTCATACTCAGCCTTCCTGGTTGGAGTGCTGTGCAATGAGTGCTGCACTTCAGGATGGCTATACTGCATGGTGATAGGGGTTGAGTGCAGTGGGTGAGGGTCGTAGTTTTCAGGGCTGAGTGGTGAAGCTACAGGTGTTGGAGGCAGCTGGTGGCGATAAGAACCCAGATGTTGAGGAAAGTGGGTTGGAGGTGACATGGGGGCACAAGGGAAAGAGTTTTGGGACAAGGGCTGCAGGGGGGAAGGGCGCGGTAGTGCTCTGCCTGTATGACTATGAGCACCTGGATAGAGTCGTCTTGGTGATCCATGTTGCTTATCAGCCGCTCTGGGCTTTGGTGCCGGCGCTCCTTTCCCTCTCCTGCCACTTCTGCACTTTTTGATTTTCATTAAGGGAGTGCTGCATGACTTCATGCAGCATGTCCTCTTGCTTCTACATGGCCTCTTACTGATTCTTTGCAGCCTCTCAGTCGGTGATAACACGGACGGTTGAGATCTCAAGGTTGCATCTGTAAAGGCAAAATGCAACACTTAACAGAGGCAGCATTGCTCATGCAAGAGAGCAATGATTCCCCCATACTTAAGGAGGGCAAGCACAGTCTACGCAATCACATAATTTGCCTGTCCCAAAGGGAGAGCACATAACCCCTGGGAGCCCCAAAATGGTGAGTAAGCACAGTGTCAAGGGGGACTGATTCTTTCATGGCTGTACTGTCTCCTGGGTTTCTATGCCTTGGGGAGAGCCAACAGCATTAGGCGGTCCCTATACTGAACACTGTCCCCACATTTTCCACAGCAGTTCATCCTGGAAGATATCTTGCTGTTGAGGGTGACCTGGGAAGCAAGGGAGGGTCTTCTACTGCAATGCAGCTTCTGCCCTGGCCCATATGCAGCTTGCCTGTGTGCAGCAATGGTCCCCCTGCCCCTCACGGTACAGTGGGGCGGACATGTTAGCCTGACTGGGACAAGGACAACAGCAGTTCTCCCACAAAACCTGCGCAAGCGCATTGCCCAAGTTCTGGATGAGACCTTTGAAGAGATCACTGAGGCACATTACCACGATGTGTGAGAGCACATCGATGCCCTATTCCGCATCTAGGCATGCATGCAGCCCTAACACTCCTTGCCCCAAGAGCCCACACAGAATAATTTCCTTTTATTTTATTCCCAAAATAAAAGCTGCTTACTGGGAACCTCCTCTGGTGTTTCTGTCCCCAAGCACCAGCCCCCATGACTGGCTACCTTCCTCCTGGCTTGAGAACAGCTCCTGGCTGCATGCATCTAGGGATTCTGGGGTGTATTCCTCCCCCTCAGCACCCTTGCTCCCGCTTTGCTCCTCCTCCTGCCTTCTTGGACTGTGCTCTGAAGTGTCCATGGTGGTCTTCGGAGTGGAATCGTGGAAGTCAATGAATGGCTACGCAGGTGGTGTCGGAGAGAAGGCTTTGAATTCTTTGACCATGGGATGGTGTTCCATGAAGGAGGAGTGCTGGGCAGAGACGGGCTCCACCTAACGAAGAGAGGGAAGAGCATCTTTGTGAGCAGGCTGGCTAACCTAGTGAGGAGGGCTTTAAACTAGGTTCACCAGGGGAAGGAGACCAAAGCCCTGAGGTAAGTGGGAAAGCGGGATACCGGGAAGAAGCACAGGCAGGAACGTCTGTGAGGGGAGGGCTCCTACCTCATACTGAGAATGAGGGGCGATCAGCAGGTTATCTCAAGTGCTTATATACGAATGCACAAAGCCTTGGAAACAAGCAGGGAGAACTGGAGGTCTTGGTGATGTCAAAGAATGATGACATGATTGGAATAACAGAGACTTGGTGGGATAACTCACATGACTGGAGTACTGTCATGGATGGTTATAAACTGTTCAGGAAGGACAGACAGGGCATAAAAGGTGGGGGAGTAGCACTGTATGTAAGGGAGCAGTATGACTGCTCAGAGCTCCGGTACGAAACTGCAGAAAAACCTGAGTGTCTCTGGATTAAGTTTAGAAGTGTGAGCAACAAGAGTGATGTAGTGGTGGGAGTCTGCTATAGACCACCGGACCAGGGAGATGAGGTAGATGAGGCTTTCTTCCGGCAATTCGCAGAAGCTACTAGATCACACGCCCTGGTTCTCATGGGCGACTTTAATCCTCCTGATATCTGCTGGGAGAGCACTACAGTGGTGCATAGACAATCCAGGAAGTTTTTTGAAAGCGTAGGGGACAATTTCCTGGTGCAAGTGCTAGAGGAGCCAACTGGGGGGGAGCTTTTCTTGACCTGCTGCTCACAAACCGGGAAGAATTAGTGGGGGAAGCAAAAGTGGATGGGAATCTGGGAGGCAGAGAGTTGGTTGAGTTCAAGATCCTGACACAAGATCCTTACCTGAAGAAAGGTAAGCAGCAGAATACGGACCCTGGACTTCAGGAAAGCAGACTTCGACTCCCTCAGGGAACTGATGGGTAGGATCCCCTGGGGGAATAACATGAAGGGGAAAGGAGTCCAGGAGAGCTGGCTGTGTTTCAAGGAATCCCTATTGAGGTTATAGGGACAAACCATCCCGATGTGTCGAAAGAATAGTAAATATGGCAGGCGACCAGCTTAGCTTAACGGTGAAATCCTTGCGGATCTTAAACATAAAAAAGAAGCTTACAAGAAGTGGAAGATTGGACAAATGACCAGGGAAGAGTACAAAAATATTGCTCGGGCATGTAGGAATGAAATCAGGAGGGCCAAATCACACCTGGAGCTGCAGCTAGCAAGAGATGTTAAGAGTAACAAGAAGGTTTCTTCAGGTATGTTGCCAACAAGAAGAAAGCCAAGGAAAGTGTGGGCCCCTTACTGAATGAGGGAGGCAACCTAGTGACAGAGGATGTGGAAAAAGCTAATGTACTCAATGCTTTTTTTGCCTCTGTCTTCACGAACAATGTCAGCTCCCAGACTACTGCGCTGGGCATCACAGCATGGGGAGTAGGTGGCCAGCCCTCTGTGGAGAAAGAGGTGGTTAGGGACTATTTAGAAAAGCTGGACGTGCACAAGTCCATGGGGCCAGACGCATTGCATCTGAGAGTGCTAAAGGAGTTGGCGGCTGCGATTGCAGAGCCATTGGCCATTATCTTTGAAAACTCGTGGCGAACGGGGGAAGTCCCGGATGACTGGAAAAAGGCTAATGTAGTGCCAATCTTTAAAAAAGGGAAGAAGGAGGATCCTGGGAACTACAGGCCAGTCAGCCTCACCTCAGTCCCCGGAAAAATCATGGAGCAGGTCCTCAAGGAATCAATCCTGAAGCACTTACACGAGAGGAAAGTGATCAGGAACAGTCAGCATGGATTCACCAAGGGAAGATCATGCCTGACTAATCTAATCGCCTTCTATGATGAGATTACTGGTTCTGTGGATGAAGGGAAAGCAGTGGATGTATTGTTTCTTGACTTTAGCAAAGCTTTTGACACAGTCTCCCACAGTATTCTTGTCAGCAAGTTAAAGAAGTATGGGCTGGAAGAATGCACTATAAGGTGGGTAGAAAGCTGGCTAGATTGTCGGGCTCAACGGGTAGTGATCAATGGCTCCATGTCTAGTTGGCAGCCGGTATCAAGTGGAGTGCCCCAAAGGTCGGTCCTGGGGCCGGTTTTGTTCAAAATCTTCATAAATGATCTGGAGGATGGTGTGGATTGCACTCTCAGCAAGTTTGCGGATGATACTAAACTAGGAGGAGTGGTAGATACGCAGGAGGGCAGGGATAGGATACAGAGGGACCTAGACAGATTGGAGGATTGGGCCAAAAGAAATCTGATGAGATTCAACAAGGACAAGTGCAGGGTCCTGCACTTAGGACGGAAGAACCCAATGCACCGCTACAGACTAGGGACCGAATGGCTAGGCAGCAGTTCTGCAGAAAAGGACCTAGGGGTGACAGTGGACGAGAAGCTGGATATGAGTCAACAGTGTGCCCTTGTTGCCAAGAAGGCCAATGGCATTTTGCGATGTATAAATAGGGGCATAGCCAGCAGATCGAGGGACGTGATCGTTCCCCTCTGTTCGACATTGGTGAGGCCTCATCTGGAGTACTGTGTCCAGTTTTGGGCCCCACACTACAAGAAGGATGTGGATAAATTGGAGAGAGTCCAGCGAAGGGCAACAAAAATGATTAGGGGTCTGGAGCACATGACTTATGAGGAGAGGCTGAGGGAACCGGGATTGTTTAGTCTGCAGAAGAGAAGAATGAGGGGGGATTTGATAGCTGCTTTCAACTACTTGAGAGGTGGTTCCAAAGAGGATGGTTCTAGACTATCCTCAGTGATAGAAGAGGACAGGACAGGGAGTAATGGTCTCAAGTTGCAGTGGGGTAGGTTTAGGTTGGATATTAGGAAAACCTTTTTCACTAGGAGGGTGGTGAAACACTGGAATGCGTTACCTAGGGAGGTGGTAGAATCTCCTTCCTTAGAAGTTTTTCAGGTCAGGCTTGACAAAGCTCTGGCTGGGATGATTTAATTGGGGATTGGTCCTGCTTTGAGCAGGGGGTTGGACTAGATGACCTCCTGAGGTCCCTTCCAACTCTGATATTTAATGATTCTATGGAGGTGGAGTCTCCCCCAAGTATCATGTCCAGTTCTTTGTAGAAACAGCAGGTCGTGGGGGCAGCACCGGAGCGGCTGTTTGCCTCGCGGGCTTTGTTGTAGGCATTCTGCAGCTCCTACACTTTAACCCTGCACTGCAGAGCATCCCGGTCATGGTCCCTTTCCATCATGTCCCTTGATATCTGCCCAAAGGTTCCTACGGCTGGAGTGCAGATGGGCCTGGACAGCTTCCTCCCCCAAACACAGATGAGGTCCAGCACCTCGCCATTGCTCTGTACTGGGGATTGCCTGGCGCGTGGAGACGTGGTCACCAGGAAAGATTTGCTAAAAATATTCCACACCTGGCTGAGCCAACAGAAAGGGGATTTTCAAAATTCCCAGAGAATTTAAAGGGTGGGTTTGATAGTTGGTCACCTAAGGGCAGGGCAGTACAAGTCAAAGTGATGATCAGAGTGGCTAGAACAGGCATTGTGGGACACTTCTGGAGGCTGATCAGAGAGCACTAACCAACCAGGGTGTCCATACTGGCACTGCGGCGCTCCAGCAGGAGCACATCAAACGTTATTCCACTCGCCAAGGTGGAGTACCAAGAGCGCTCTAGCCGCAGAGTCAGAGCGCTCTATGTGCATTGCCAGTGTGGATGCATCGTGAGTTAGAGCACACTGGGCTCCTTTAATGCGCTCTAACTCGCAAGTGTAGCCATGTCCTAAAAAAGAGGTGGACAAATTGGAGAGGCCAGAGGAGGGCAACAAAAATGATAAAAAGTTTAGAAAACCTCACCCGTGAGAAAAGGTGGAAAACTAGTCATGTTTAGTCTTGAGAAAAGAAAACTGGGAGGGGATAACGGGGGAATCTTATAAACAGTCTTCAGATATGTTAAGGGCTACTATGAGGATGGTGATCAATTGTTCTCCGTGTCCACGAAAGGTCGGACAAGAAGTAATTGGCTTAATGTGCATCAAGGGAAATTTAGGCTAGATATTTTCTAACCATAAGGATAGTTAAGCACTGGAATAGGCTTCCCAGGTAGCTGTGTTTGACAATGGTCTAGTATACTTGGTCCTGCCTCAGTGGGGGGGATAAACTAGGTGACACTTGTTGTTCCTTTGCAGACCTATATTTCTATGATACATAACAGGAACAAAAAACAGACTATTACAAAGTAACTATAGCCATTAAAATATCAGTTACAGAATATGATTGTATCAGGATGGCCTGCCTTTTTAAGGGTCAGGAGACCTAGGGGTAGCTCAACCCTGTTCAGACAGCTCCACTTATGCTATAATCAACTGCATCCAGCCTGAGAAGGCAGAACTAAATGGGTCAGATGTTAGTATAGTGAACACCTGGGCCTCATGCTAAAAAGGCTTAAGAGCACACAGCCAGGAGGAAGCTGGGATAGGAACCACACAGAGCAGCGTAGGCTGTTGTGGGAAGGCCTCAGATCAGGCCTACAAGAAAAGGGAGTTTCCTGGGAGAAGCTGCTCGCATCTCTGGGAGGTAGTGGGAAACCTGTCAGGCCCAAGAGGAGCAGAAGCAGGGTTGGTTGGATGTTTTGTCTGGTGGTTTAATTGGACTTTTGTTACCTGAGAAGGGGTCTGAACTTTAAGTGTGACCTGGCTGAAGGGCTTTGTAACCCAGAAGAGAACCATGGAAGAACCAGACTGGTTGACAAAAGGGGCACTAAAGTGGAAGACCCTTGCAATGCTGTGTCCTAATGCCAGGAGTGCTATGGCAGTAAGTGGAATGTTTACAATGATATTATCAAAATCACAAAAATCATCAAACTTGAAAAGAGAACACAAGATAGGTAGTTGACTATTCTAAAATGAAAAAGAGAATCTTCTTGCACCACTATTAGTTTTTACTGCTGGAACTTGAACAATGGGACAACAATGCCATATGAAAAGGAATGCAAACATTTTGCTAAAAATGACAGAAGTCTTCCAAGACAATTACAATATATAAAATGTAGCCAATATGTTTGCTATAAAATCAGCCAGTACAAAGCATTTACTATTATGTTTCAGTTAGATCTGGTTGAAATTGACACTTGAAAAAAGTTGCAAAATCTTTCCCCTTATTTTGGTCCAGCTTTAATTACAACGTGTTTACAGTGGTCTGCTTCAAAAGGGAAGAAGGCAAAGTTATCTTCCCATCTTAACCAGCTTTGCTTTTGTGTCAAACAACTTAATGTGAGTGCTTTTAGCAATCAGCCATAATATTTTTATTACATGCTGTCATGCGGTTTTGCTGTTCTTGCATCATCTTGAATTTTTAACTCATGCTATATCTGGGACTCTCGCTGCATTTCCAATGCTCTTCTTCAAGTTCTTTATTTATGTATTTATTTTTAGTGCTCTTGAAAGATATGAGAATGACAGTCTGGAGACCAAAGACCTTGATTTGCAGAGCAGCTAACTGTGCAAGCTCTCCTATACTATCCTTCAACGCTGCCCTGGTGGGAACCCTTCTAGGAATGTGATCCAAACATTTACAGATATACCTACAGTAAGAGGTGTAAAGAGAATAAAGGAAACTGACATAAAGACAGACACAGAGACCTGAAAGGAGAGCAACGGAAAGGACCTGCAAGAAGAAGAAAAGAGGTAGTAGGCAGGAGCAGAGAGTGAAAAGATGTTGGAAGGAGGCAAAAGACAAAGAAATATTTCTCCTTGTTTTCTTTTAATTTTTACTAGTGGAATGTATTAGGTAAAATAAGTGACAGAAGGACCTTATATATCTCCTGAAACAGACACACAGGACACATGATGTAGTCTTGTATAAAGATTTAATTCACTTAAGTTTGAGCTAGCCACATTACACGTGAATGACAAAGCCATGAGTGACTTATATAGGGCACTGTGTATGAGTGCTACTGAAATCTTTACACTGCACCACACCATCTGGTATTCTGTATATTCAATCAACTATTATAAAAACCTATTTTAGGAATGTTTTACAGATATATTTGTACTACAAAAATAGACCCAATTAACATTTTTATACCTACATAGCCAAGTTTGTTAGATGACCATCAGTCCAACTATAGCAGGCTCAGAAACAGCCAGGAAAGCTTCTAAAAATGATGTAAGGTAACTTTTCTGGATCCAGAAGTTTGATGATGACTAGAAAATCTTACCTTAAGCTTTCCTAGGACTCAAACCATGTGCCAGCTCCCATTGGGAATCCATATTTTTCAATGATATACAACTCCTGTTTGGTAGAAACAGCCATGTGCTAAGATATCCAACATTACATTCATAATATTGTTCATAAAAGAAAATATGTTACTGTCTCCCAGGTGCATCCTTTTGGGAAGGTGTAAATCTGCAGGGGAAGGAGGAGGAAATGTTTCTCTAGCAGATTGGTTTTTTGTTTGTAAATGATGTCTATTTGGATTGTTAGAAAAGATCCTAGAGGAGATAGATCAGTGGGCAGCATGAAGGTGAGGTGATCAAAAGGGCATATTAAATTAATTTACCACATGGTTATTGTGGCATATAGGTATTTACTAGGTCAGGCATAGGCAATAAAGCAATGAGTCTACAGGCCTGAGGCTTGTAAAATAATAGCTTAGCTAAACAGGGATAAGCAGTTAACCAGGAATAACCCTAGATCATAAGTTATCCCAAAATAGACTGTACTGACTAAACTGCTGACTGGTAACCACAGATGCTAGTTTACACCAGCTTTAGATATTTTTAAGTTAGGAAAATAAGCAGATGTCTGTTCCCAAGAATGCCATGGTAATCAATGAACTATATGCTAATGACCTTGAGGTAAATTGACTAGTAATCTATGGGAGAAGAGCATCCCAACATTAGTAAGGTCAGGAAATACAAATAAGGAAAATACCCACTATACCTAATGCATATTCAGTATCAGTAGAACACATTATAAAAGTTGTATCCCAGCCTTTGTGCCTTGGAAGATGTAACTGTTGGAAGGACCAGGATGATGACCACTGGTGATGGTGATAAGGAAGATGAAGAGGAAGTGGAAGATAACGACTAACACTGCTGGTTGTTCAGGGGATGGTGTGAGTATATAAATGCTCAGACTCTCATTCTGTGTTATCTCTATCTACCTTGTTGGGTTGTAACTTTGCTAACTGAGTTAACAAAACTATCACAAAAACAAAGCGTTTTCCTAAGTGTGAGTGTTGCAACTGTGCATATTAGGGTTCCAAAGAGAACAGTAATTTTAATAATACTGGACTTGATCTTGGGATGAGAACCTACTGAACATCAATCAAGTGTTAATGGGGAATTCTTAAGTAATCAAAATAATTAATACACAATTAATAGACAGGCAACATTATATATGTATAAATAAACACAGACACACATACATGAACACTCTTTCTGAAGAACTTCTGAGAAATTCTGGAGCTTCCCCATAAAGAAACAATTTATGTACATATTTTGGAGATTGAGGAGACCTGGGTTTATTCCTGTCTCTGTCACTGACTAGCTGTGATGTTATGGAGGTCACTTGGACGAGTAATGGGTTCTGTCACTGTCTGACCTGTTACCTTTTGTGTCTTAATGCTGTTGTCATAAATATAAAGGGAAGGGTAACCACCTTTCTGTATACAGTGCTATAAAATCCCTCCTGGCCAGAGGCAACATCCTGTTACCTGTAAAGGCTTAAGAAGCTCAGCTAACCTGGCTGGCACCTGACCCAAAAGACTAATAAGGGGACGAGATACTTTCAAATCTTGGGGGGTGGGGGCTTTTGTTTGTGCTCTTTGTTTACGGGGTTGTTCTCTCTTGGGACTGAGAGAGGCCAGACAGAAATCCATCTGCTCCAACCCATCCTAATCCAAGTCTCCAATATTGCAACCAGCATAGGTAAGCCAGGCAAGGCGGATTAGTTTATCTTTTGTTTTATGTGAATTTTCCCTGTTTTAAGAGGGAGGTTTATTCCTGTTTTCTGTAACTTTAAGATTTTGCCTAGAGGGGGAATCCTCTGTTTTGAATCTGAATACCCTGTAAAGTATTTTCCATCCCGATTTTAGAGAGATGATTTTTACCGTTTGTTTGTTTAAATAAAATCCTTCTTTTAAGAACCTGACTGATTTTTCCATTGTTCCAAGATCCAGGGGTTTGGGTCTTTGATGATTTTGTAACCAATTGGTTAGGATATTATTCTCAAGCCTCCCCAGGACAGGGGGTGTGTAGGGCTTGGGGGGCATATTTTGGGGGAAGAAGTCTCTAAGGGGTCTCTTTGCCTGTTCTTTATTTAAAATGCTTGGTGGTGGCAGCATACTGTTCAAGGACAAGGCAAAGTTTGTACCTTGGGGAGATTTTAACCTAAGTTGGTGAGAATAAGCTTAGGGGGTCTTTCATGGGGGTCCCCTCATCTGTACCCTAGAGTTCAAAGTGGGGAAGGAACCCTGACAGCTATGCTGCTATGGCTCAGAGCCCTGACACCAGTAACCACCCTACAAGTGACTTCCACCAGCCTAGTTATTTCTTGAAAGGTGACCTCAACAACTCTTCCAGTCCTGTGTCTTTCCAAATTTATTTACCCTAAGTTCTTAACTGTGAGACACTCAGACTTTTCCCCTCTGGTTCGTCCCCTGCAAAGGAGTGAAATCTGTCCCCCGCTATCAGTTCACTTTGGGACACAAACTCCATACAGTTTGCACAAGAGAGACCTGTTTGCCATAAAAATAAACAACGGTTTATTTAATAGAAGAATCACAGATTCAAAGATGAAATAGCACCAGGAAGCAAACACAAGTTACACGGGAAATAAACATAAAGATGCAACCTCCGGTCATTTACACATTAGATAAAAATCCCTTTTCTAATACAAGTTACCTATTGCCTTTGCTCAGTCTCCCAGCATGTCTCCTAGCTGTACCAGGGGATCCAGTATTCAAAGACAGCAGCTCCCAGCCCTGGCCTTCGAGACTATCCCTCTGTTCTGGACACCTTTCACTTCAAACCACTTTCCTTTTTTCTTTCCCTCCAACTTTGGTGGTTCAGGTTGGGGGAAATTTCCTCTTTTCTTAGGCCTGGCCTACACTAGAAAATTAGTTTGGCATAATTACATTGGTCAGGAGTGAAAAATCCAAAACCCTGAGTGGTGTAGTTCAGCCAACCTAAGTCCTTGTGTAGACAGCACTAGGTCAACAGAAGAATTCCAACCTAGCTACCACTTCTTGGGAGGGTGGCTTACCTGCACCAATGGAAGAATCCATCCCATGGGCATAGGTAGTGTCTACACTGAAGTGCTACAGCACTACAAGCCCTTAGTTTTCCTAGACAGGGGGTTTCTTTTTGGTTTCAAGTTGCTTCAATGTTCTCCCATTTAATGGCTCATTACTTGTGTTTTCCTAGTTGTACAATGCTAGGTGCTTGGAGCTGCACACCTCCCTGTTGTGAGGTGAAGCTAAATGTTGCAGTACAAATTATGAGCATGGTTTTAGATCTACACAAATACATGAATTCATACATGTACAGTCTGTGTACATATCCCTAAGCTTCTGACTGCTCGAAGCTGCGACTGGACAACAGGGGATGATCACTGGTTAATTGCCGTGTTCTGTTCATTCCCTCTGAAGCACATGCATTGGCCACTGTTGGAAGACAGGATACTGGGCCAGATGGACCATTAGTCTGACCCAGCATGGCCTTTCTTTATGTTCTTATAACCAGGGTTAAAATTACACTGCAAATGACATCTTGTCAGTGCTGATCCCTAGCTCATGGGTTCCTTCTCCACAACTAGCCCTTGAAAGCGGAAGCCAGAGACAGTTGTGCAACAGGTTTGAATTTGGCTCAGATGACTGAGGGAAGAGTGAGTTACCCCTGGGCAATGCTTGCTGGGTGGAAGAGACAGTGTTTAGACTCAGTGTGGCTACGTTCAGTCTAAGAAAAAAGGGTGAACTTAGGGGCTACTGCTGTCTAATATAACAGTCATTACTGCCAGCTAATATTGTGCAAAGTAAGCTGGTCATAATACAAAGTTGTCTCACTCCTCCTCCTTTCACCTGCCCTGCCTTTGCCAGACTTAAAGTGCTGGCCTGAACTCCTGCTCACTCAGTGCGCCAATGCAAGAGAGGGCCCAGGACGATACACTTAAGAGACCATGTGCGCTCTGTGATGGGGTGGATGTGTGTATAATGTTAGGAGTGTTGGTTAGGTTTATGTAGCCATTGAAAGCTGCAGCCATTAACTGAACTATTGTAGCACCACCCTGCTGAACTGGTACAGTTATAACAACTTAACCTATATTAATCTGTCGCATTTTCTATTGTCTGGTGCTAGAATAACTTTTAAGGAAAATTGTGTTTGGTTCTGGTCCGGGTGGTTTTTGCATATGTAAGATCCAATATTTATATTTTTGTTCCTGGAAGCAACTGAGGTACAGGAGGTGTATACAGTGCCTGTCCAGGTGGAGGCACCACCCACACTAAAGTCAGGGGACTATTGCAGAGGGGTGACTAGAGGATTTCCGCCTAACACTCCATCTCAGCTGGGACCTACAGGTTCTCCCTTGTCCTTAATGAAGCAAGGAACAGGTGAGAGTTGCCTGCTTTTGAGTGTTCTGGGAGGGGAGAGGCAGTCAGACAAGCTTTCATAAACTACCTTACTTGATACACATTTATAATACAATCACTTTGTATACAATCAGTTCATTTAATTGTTTATTATTTGACCCCCTGTTCTCCCCTTGGGATATCTGCACCCTGATTGTCTCACCACCCAAGTGACTTTAGGATGGGATTCAGTTTTCTCATCTGTAAAATGGGGGTAACAATACTTACTACTTGTCTAAAATGCTCTGACATTTAAGGATGAAAAATACTATAAGAGCTGGGTACCAATTAATTTTTGTTACTCTATTGTCTATCATTTTATATCCCTAATCTGCAAGGAGCTAGGGGTTTAACACCCATTGAAGTCAGTGAGAGTGCTCAGCTCCCAACAACTCCCATGAAGTACTCAACACCCTGCAGAGTCAGGCCCTACATTTTTAGGTACCAAATTAGAAAATCTCTTAAGTACACTTTATGCATCTGGTTAGTCTCAGTGACTTGGAAGGGAGTTAAAAACCTGGTTAAAGTTAAGTGCTCTTTTGGAATAGGGATGCTTTCCTGAATTGGAGCCTTAAAAACTACTAAAAGCATGTTATCTTCAAATGGACGTTCATGCCATTGGGCAGATGTGCATGTGGAAGGACATGTGTAGTGTTTTAAA